TGAACTTGCTGTGGAGCTTGTGTGGGGTGGGCAGAAGGTCAGAGATGCTGCGAGAAGCACCCATAGGGCCTCTTTTAGTGCAATGCAAGATGCTCTCTGCATGGTCCTTCCCCCCACTGGGCGGGTTTTGGTTGAAATACCGGTGCCACCACCACTCACCATTGGAGTCCTCTGTTCCTCTGGGGATATTTGGGTTTTCTAATGGGAAAAAAAAATAGCAGAGAGACAGTTTTACTGGCGAGGGGAAGAGATGAGCATAAGGATTTGTGGAGGGCAGGGCTGACCCCTGTGGTGTCGCCGTACCAAAAACGATGAGCCGGGTGTGGGTGTCGGTGGAGCCCAGGGGGTTCTGGGCGGTGCAGCGGTACATGGAGCCGTTGAGCTCGGCCGGCACCCGCTCCAGCACCAGCTCCTTGCCGTCGTGCTCGGCGCTGCCGTCGAGGAGCCGGCTCCCCACCCGTGTCCAGGTGAAGAGGGGCTCAGGGAAGACTTCGTTCTGTGGGAAGGCAGAAGGGCTGTGAGATGAGTGCAGGGAGTGAAGAACAAATCCTGTCTTGTGCCTGCAGCAAGGACAGCTGAAATACCAAGGGATGCACCAACGTAGGGACCACGATGCAACCCAAGGCCACCAAGCCAACCCCAGAAAGTGCTGGCGCGGATGCAAGGCTGTCCGTGGGCACGGCATCACGCCATGGCGATGGGGATGGGTGGGGATGCTGACCTGGAAGCCCTGCACCAAGATCCGTACGGTGTCTCCGACGCGGGCTCTCGTCGGGGTCATCGTGATCTTCGGGCCCTTGGGAGCAACTGCAAAAGGGAAGGGAATGAGAAGGGATGTCAGCCCAGGAAGGGATTCCCAGCGCCGATGGGTGCCCTTGGCTGGGGTTAATGATGGCTTGATGAATGATCATGGCGAAGGGGTGGCACAGCGGGTGCCAGCCCAGTGGGACTTATGGTTGGGTGACTGATGGACAGGCTGACGGACATCCAAATGACTGGTAAGACAGGTAGGCAAGGACACTGGAGGTGGATGAATGGGAAGACTGCGAGACTGACAGATGCCTGTGATGGGATGCATTGCTGTTGAAGGACGTATTTCCTGACCAAGCCCCTCTTTGCTCAGAAACAGGGGTCACGAGGGGTTAGGTTGGTTTGAAGCCATGGAGATGGGCACCTCCAAAAAGCATCCCCAAAAAGCATCCCTAGGACATAGTGGTCAGGGTGAGTCATGCCCAAGTGCTGTCAGCGTGGGAGACAGTCACCAAGCCTGGCTGGCACAAAATGCCAAGCGCAGCTCTGTAAAGAGAAAGGGACTCCTTTTCCCATGCCACACTTGGGGTGTCCTTGCCTGGTGCATTGGAAGGGGGAAGCAGCGATGCAGCCAATCATGGTGGGGTGACACCATGCCAGGTCTGCTCCTTGCTCCCAGTTGGGTGAGGGTTGTGTGGATGGCCCTCCTAGGCCATGGGTGGGATGGGACAGTCCCAGGAGCTTCCTGGTTTTTGCATGGAAGGAGCCTTTTGCAGGCTCGAAGAGGAAAAACAGGCAGGAAGGAGGTTGTGCTTTTGCCAAAAGCGGGGCGGGTGTCACCCTTTTTATAGTCAAGCCTCACCCTGGATGGGACAGGCTGGTGGTGGGGTGCCTAGTGAAGGTGCCTAGGCTGGAGGCATCTTAGAG